CCCCAAAACCCCAAAACCCCAAAACCCCAAAACCCCTCATTTTTGGTGAGAAATTGAATGAATGATGAGTATTGGTAGTGTGAGTGCTGCATCCAAGATCAAGGGGTTATTGACTAAGAGAGGGAGTTGTTATGAAATACTTGTTTTCTGAGGAGCCATAGATGAGTGGAGAAGATTAATGAGGTTACTATGCAGAGAGACTAAGCAGTATTATGAAGAGAAGAAGAATGAATTTAAAAATCTTTGAGCATTTAAATATGGAAATTCATGGAAGGTTATAAGATTAATTCGAAAGTATATCACTAATAAAGCGACCAAAGCAAATATGTTTGATTTTATTTTGCAGCCAGATTCTGAGAAATGCTCTTCACTCTGAGATAGGATAGTTGATAATGATCTGAGTATCCCTAACTTCAGGTCTCTCTTCTTGAAAGCTTCAAAGGATATGACCAAAATTCCAGTTAAATAGTAAAAGTTTTGAAAATATAAAGAGATTTGTTGACCACTTATTGGTGAAATATGCTGAAAGTAAAGAATCAAATTCTCCTCAAGTTCCGTTCAAGACTTTAATCCTTGATGGCAGATTGTTTAAAATCGCATTAGTCTCCCACATTGTAGATAAATTACTCATGATCACAGAAGCTAAAGTGGACATTATTATCAAGAGCGATTTACATTTTGATGAACTTTCAGAGATATTCTTGAAAATCTGTAAGTTTAAGGAAATAGTTTTTATCAATATGATTCCCCAGATAAAAGCAATCCTTCCTTTTTGACAAAAAATTATACAAAATAAATTAGAGCATATTTACCTAAAAGAGAGCTGAATATATTATTATACCAGAAGAGGAGACGAATTATCCCTCAAAAAATTCTCAAACTCTGTAACAGACTTTTTCTACTACCTAAAAATCTCCAAAATCCACTTAACCCTCAAATCAGTCACCCTCTCCCTCACCGATAGCACAGGTAACTTCTCTCTCTACCCCCTAAAGTTCAAACAGAGACTTTCCCAGCTGCCTAACTACTTCAGGAACCACCTTAGATCCCTCGATCTAAAGTTCAGATTTAAGTTTATTTCTAAAGTAGCTAAAATTACAGGAAAAGTTAATTTTTGATTTTTTAGGTAACATTTTAGATAAAATAGAAGGAAGGGGTTTTGGGGTTTTGGGGTTTTGGGGTTTTGGGGTTTTGGGG